AACAAACTCAACTGCATTGCACCACATTCACTGCACTGACTTCCAACAGAGTCTTTCTTCCTACACTGCTCTTAAATAATCTCTCTTTCCTTTTTGTTCTCCTTAGAGTTGGTTGTATCCTATCTCTGATACATTCTGTCAAATCTTTCTCTGATTCATCACTTTTTTTGACTCCTCAATTAGGTGATATTGTTTGGGATTAAAGGTGTGTACTGAGGGCACGTCTGTATTTTGGCCAGAAGGGTTAAGGGTGTATAGAGTGTCTGAATTCCAGCTGGATCACACAGACCTAGAAGGTCATTGGATCTGGTCAGACCCATCATATTAGTGGATTAAAATTCCTCTACAATCTCTACTCTGAATCCACCCCTGGAGCACTCCTTTCCTCCTTATTTTCCTTTTACTTACATTTTTATCCTGTCTTTTAAATGCTTTACTTACTGAACTTCACTCTACAACCAAACAAATGTTCCATACAAGCTTTCCTAATAGCTCTCACTCTACAACAGTTCCATTTGTTCTTGAACATCTGCAAAAAGACCTTTTAGATCAGCGGCTCTCTGTCGGGTGCTGGGCTGGGAGAAGCAGTTGGGTACCTGGCTGAGCAAGTCTTGAACCCCGGGACCATTATCTGGATGGCAGGTGTTCCGCTTTTGCCCACAGGCCTTAGTTCTTTTCATTCAACTTTGGCCCTCCACGGCCCTTCCCAAAGAGAGGTCTGTGACTGACAGTCACGAGGAACAGTGCCTCAGGCTCTCCCACATGTAGATAAGGTATCTCCAAGCTCTCAGAGGAAGCCAATAGGCATTATCTGCTGCCAGACCCTAACCCACCCTGAAACCGTATATAAGGGCTCTATTCTGGAGAAGTAAAGGTGTGCTCGAGAATCATCCTGGTGTCTGAAAGTTTCTGTCGAACGAGCTGTAACACTAGAGCTGTAACACTTAGGGAGAGATCTGCTCTCCCAGAACCTTCCTGGGGCACCAAGCTGCTTCCTCGCCAGCTAGCCGGCTTCCTATAGGCCCAGCCTGGGCCGGCTGAGCGATGAGAAACAGGTGGTGCACCTGGGAGGGACCGAGCGGCGACAGTGGAGACTCACAGAGGCGACAGTGGGGGCAGGCGATCTCTCCTCCCTGATCGAACTCTGTACTCTTTGGCCCAGACCTCTCACTCCAGGCCTGGCCGGAGACCAAAGGACAGTGGAGACACAGGCAGAGGCATCCGCAGAGATGGTAGCAGACCCTCCCTGCTCTCACTCTGTCCTCAGCCAGGAGATCGTCATGGGACACCCTCCGAAACCGGAGACCCACAATTCTCAATCTCCTTAGTTCTGTGACTCGTTACTACGGTTCCTCATGTTGTGGTGACCCCTAACCATAAAATTACTTCACTGCTACTTCCACTACCATTGGGGAAACACCGAAGTTTACTTCGGTGAATTACTGCTACTTCATCACTGTAATTTTGCTGCTGTTATGAAACATAATGTAAACTTCGGTGTTTCCCAATGGTTTTAGAAGAATCCTGTGGTAAGGTCATTTAACCCACAGGTTGAGAACTGATGTGTTAGACACTGTGGTAAAACTCTAGCTAAAAGGGGCCTTCACCCCTTTTATCCTAGTCCAGATACAATTCTCTCCATTAATCCTGTAGTTTCTCCTGTTCCTTGTCTTTGATGCTCTGTAGCCCCCTGCTACTTCTGCTAGTACATTTTTGTGTAACTGTCTGTCTGGCAATGGACCAGTCACTGTCACCCTGAATCAACTCCATGCCATTTTCTTCTCACTGGCCCACTCTGTTCCTCCTGCCTCTTTTCCTCCCTGTCCTTCAACCTTTCCAGATAATCTCTCAATTTTACTCTGTAAACGAAGCCTCTAAAAGTATCTAGTAACTATCCAAGTCCCTTTAAGAAGACAGGATGGCAATTGCCTGAACTATTGCAGGTAATCAAGTTAAGTTTCTAACCATGCTCGAGGGCTAGATGACTCCCTCTTCAATGGAGCCTGAACTACCCCCTTCAATAGAGACTCTCCTCAGAAAACACCTATAACACCCTTGCCTTGCATTATTTTGTAATGCCTTTCAGAGTTCAGGATAGCTTCCTAATGAAAGATTACAATTCCTAGCTTCCCTATGAACTACGGGGCAATCCACTGAACAAGCACTATAAGGTCCCATCTTCTTCTGTAGGTATTTTGTCCATCTGTGAATGTGGGTTACAAAGTGCCCCCTTGCTGTGAATAAACATTGTCCCACTTAAGGTTAGACTAAGCTTCTTTCCCCACCTCCTGCCCCCCACCCTCACTCCTCTCTACAATTGTTCTTTAATCTAACACTCACTACTTCAACTTATCTATGTATTTAATGGAATCTTTGCCAAAATACCCATACTTTTCACAGACAGAAAATATTTTGAACCACAAAAGAGCCCAACCAAATAGCTAAAGTTTTCTGAACAAAGTGGTAGATCTCCCAATATTTGTTTTCAAAGTACACTGGAAGTGACAGTAATCAAAACAGCCACTTAAAACCAGACACACAAACCAATAGAAAAGACAACCCAGCCAGAGTTTGAGTCCCTGTTTTTACAGTCAGTTGATGTCAATAAAATCGTATTTTGGAGAAGGTGCTATCCTTTTGTGCAAGGTTCTGTGGAAACTGGACATCTGTATGCAAAGGAAAAAAAAACTAGACACCTATATTCTACTGTGTATAAAAGTCAATGAACAATGGATCAAGGCTTAAGTATAAGAGTATAAGATGTGAGAATTCCAGAAGACAATATAAGAAAAACACTTAGACATTGGTCTTTTCTTGTCTGTCTGTCTGTCTGTCTGTCTGTCTCTCTCTCTCTCTCTCTTTCTTTCTTTCTGTCATGATCCAGAAAGCATAAACAACAAAAGCAAAAGTAAATATTGGGTCTTTACTGAGCTAAACATGCTTTGATATAGCAAATTAAAAATATCAACATATCAACATTAAAAAATGTCAGCGGCTGGAGACAAACAGAACTGAAGGTGCTATGTTAGATTGTTTACTGTACAAGTGACTGATTTTCAGAATGTGTAAGGAATGTGAATGAAAAAGGGGAACAAAAAGAAAAGACATGGCTGCTCCTAGATATGGTGAGGGAGAATGTTTATTGTAGATAAGAGGGAGAGCATAGTCAGAGCCAGGGACATCTGGGAGACCACTGAGCTGACCCATGTGAGGAGAGGGGAAAAGAGAGAGCCAGGAGAGTAGATGGTAGACAAAAGGGACCAGGTAACTAAAGTGGCTGGATCATATGGGAAGGGCAGCCCAGCTACTGGGCTGGAGACTTTTAGGGTAGGAGGTAGGGTATGCCATCCACACCCTGTAACAGGTAGGAACTGAAGGATACTGAGAGAACCTGACAGGCAGGTCCAGATTAGTATGTTAAATAGGTGCCTCAGTTGGCTTTTTGTCATGGGTTTGAGACCTGACAGCTTTGTGACACAACCATGGCAACAAATAATCTAAATTAAAAGTGGGCCAATGACTCCAATAGCCATGTGTCAAGAAAGGATGCATACATGGCCAAAAAGTATAAGCAATACTGCCCACCATCGCAAATCCTCAGGGGGATAAAATAAAACCACACTACGATATCAACATGAGAGACATGGGAGATGGATGCAAGGGGCAGTGACAGGGATACTTACAAAGGGGAAAGAAAGGAAGCAGGACAAGGATGCAGAGAAAGAGAAACACAATCACGGTTAGTGGAAGTTTAAGTTAGCATAGACCTATGGAAAACACAATGGAAATTCCTTAAATAAACAGAAGATAGAACTACCATATGGTCTACTAATCCCATTACTGGGCATATATCCAAAAAGAATGGAAAACACTCTGTCAAACGCTCTGCACTCTTAGGTTTATTGAATTAGTATTCATTTGTAAAGATATCGTGATAGAGAAATGATATTCTTCAGTTATAAGAATAATGAAATAATGGCATTTACAGAAGTATGAATGGGACTGGAGAGCATTATAGCTACCAAGTGAAGTAAGTATGGTAAAGAAAGGCAAATAGTGTATGTTCTTACTGTTAGCTAGAAGTTAAAATGCTGACATCAAAATCGGAATTAAATAGTGATTGCCCAAGTTTGGGAAGTGTATTTTGAATCTTTAAAAGGAAAGAAATGGATGTTTGAGTTAAAAAGACATGTATCTATTACCCGACTGGGGTGGGTGGGTACATCAGTTAGCAGAACGTTTACCTAGCAGGATACCCAGCACTACCTTAACTTGACATAGTAGTCATGACTGAAATAGCAGTACTTAGGAGGAAGAAACAGGAGGACCAAATGTATGAAGTCATCTTCCGTTACATAGTGATTTTGAGGCTAGCCTGGTATACCTGGAACTGGTTTTTAAACGCAGGGATCTGTCTCTGCTATTCCTAGGCCATCAGGAGACCTACGGGCTCTCAGAATTTCTGAGTCCTCATCTATGCTGGCTTGGAGGTGTTCGTGGTGAAACTTTGGCTCTTTGGCTTTGCTTAGTGTTGAAAAAAAGCTGCTTTCCTACAACGTGGTGATTCATTTTAAAGGATTTCCATTGGTCTGTTTACAAAGCACTGTTTGTGCAAAGCACAGGAAACAGGAGATGAAAGAGAAGGTGGATTCAGGGGACTGGGTGTGACAGATGGCCGAAGGTGGACAGACTTCTCCACTGTGTAGGAAACCGAGGGCAGCAGGCTGGTACTATGCTCCCCGCGGCTTCTAGAAGCTACGCAGGCAGCAGCCTGGGACAGCTCCGGAAGGGGCGGGGTTCTGCGCTCGCACACCAAGCCTCCTCCGGCGAACAAGCCCCAGGCCCCGCAGCCGAGCGCCGAGCTGCCGATCCGTCACTCCCGCAGCCCTCGCTCGGGTCGCTCGTGGCTCCACCCGCCATTGTGTAAGTGCGCGGCTGCCCGCGCGGGCTGGCGGGGCGGGGGCGCGGGAGGGAGGGAGGCCGCCCCTCGCCGCCAGTGCCCGGATGGAAGCTGGCGGGTCTGGGTGACTGGAGGCGGTGGTCGGAGCCCGAGTTGGAGCTGGAGCTCGGTTGGGATCCCGGTCATCTAGCCTCTGCCTGGGACTTTCCCCTGCGCACCCCTGCATCTTTCTGGCCTCCCGCGGTGCCTGGTCCAAAGTGCCTGCCGCGGGATGCTTACTCTTGTCGCAGAATTACGTTTGGGAAAGTTTAACTTAGGACTTCTTTTCTTTTCCATACAGAACCCATACCCCGCTATGGAGCATGTCTTTACCCCGCTGGAGCCCCTGCTACCCACGGGTACCGTATTCCTTACCATGCTACAGTGTCAGCACGAGCCCCGCACAGGGACACATTCCTATCCTGAAGGCCTTAACCCCAAACTCGGTTTTCTCGTTCCGGTGGGCAAGTTGAGCCATCACACCCGTGCCTCTGTTTCCCGGTTTGAAAGTGAATGTAAATATGTAGTCTTTGCCCTGTGGAACTTTTGTGAGGACTGAGCGAGTTGATACAGTTTGTATGCTCTACCTGAGGTTCCAAGAGTAAACATTCAACATGCTGAACACACATATCCAACAGTGAAACATTTGACACTGGGAAGACGAGAGATGTCAATAGCTGCCAGTCAAAGACGCCTTTCTAATCACCTTGAAAGTACTTGAACTTAGTACAAGATCAGTACATGGTTATATACAGTTGGTTTAACCCTAAGGATTTTAATTTTTATTATAAACTTTTTTTGGTGCTGGGGATCGAGTCCAGAGCCTTGAAAATGCTAGGCAAAATACTCTTATCAGTAAACTGTGTGCCCAGCCCCGATAATTTCAAACTTTGAAATTATCGGGCTCTTCATGGTAATGTGTAGAATGAGTTTTATTAGTAGCATTTATTCTTACGTAATTTGACTACAGTGAGAAATTGTAAGGCTAGATTATTTAATTTTCAAATTAGATTTTGAGTCTGAGCTTGTGTAGGCACATATGCATATGGATGTCAGGTGTCAGTCTTTGGTGTTGTTCCTCAGTGCTATCCACTTTGTTTTTGGATTACACACTGGCCTGGAAATTGATTAGGCTAGACTGGGTGGCTGGCAAATTTGATAGGGACTCCAGGTATCTTAATGGGGCCACCTCCCTAGATCTAGGATTATAAGTGTTAGCCACTATGCCATGTATTTTTATGTGGTTTCTGAGATCGAATTCAAGTCTTGCTGCTTTCTTGATTGAACTGTCCACGCCTCCAGCCCCCTTTTCCCAATTAGTGTTTATTGTGTTTGTACAGTATAGAATTTTGGATTCATCATCTGTTTTAGATGAAACATTTTCCCATGGTCGCCTTTAGTCTTTATAAGCGTGTGCATCCAGGGGTCTTGTTCTGAGTTTTGAATTTGACTTGTACTGATGGGAAAAGCCAAAGGCTACAGTAATAACAGTAGGTAATATTGATCTTCATGTACAGTCATGTGTCCCTTAAGGGCTGAGATGAGTTCTAAGAAACATAAGGCCAGCGAGTCTGTCATTGTGTGAACATACTAGAGTCTATCTGTACATATTAAGAGGGAGACCATGACGCTGATGACCAGACCATGGTCCTGTGAACCACCTTGTATATCTGTATATCGTTAGTGCATTGGTGATTCCTTTTATATAGGTGAGGAAAATAGTGATAGACTGAGAATTAAAACAGTTTTTTTTTAAATTAATGTGATTATGAGGTTTCCAGTTTATTGCTGTAAACAGTTTTTCAGACATAAAGCATCACAACATCTTGTAAATTAAATTTCACAGTTTTTAATTATCTAATAATGGCAGAACCAATAGCATTTCTAGAAATAAACATTTGATCCTGGTGTGCTTGCTGACATTCAGATCGCTTACTAAGAATGTTAGTGTGTGAAAAATTGTCAATGTTTTCTGCCTTGAAAGAAGTACAGAGAGGGCTAAGTGGTATAAGATGATGTTGAAGAATTTGAATCTATGGGTTTTAGTGTTAGTTCTGCCGCTTAGTGGTTCTCAGACCTTATGGTTCAGTTTCTTCAACTGGAGAGCAGAGGTATGTCATGGGGCGATTGGCACTATCAATGAATACATGTAAAGCAATTGGATTCAATAGCTAGGAGCTATTAGATTCAATGGCAAAATCTGAGAGGGAACAAAATGGCCCTGGGAGTTCAGGGCCAGTTCTGATGTGGGAGTAGTAATGTACAGGAATTGAATCCCTTTGCCTTCAATTTTATTACAGGCTCAGTGGAGAAGCCTTGACTCTTTAATTTCGTGCATTTTTATGTCTACACTGCAGCAAGGTCTGTAACACTGTGGTATAGATACCCGTGTCAAGTACAAAATCACCAAGCCAGGATCAGTGCTCCTGGGGTGGTTTTCAGAATTTCTTCCTCTGTATTCCCGTCTCATTTTTAGCTTTGGCCTTGAAAACAGGGTCCAGAGGCATGTTTCTGTTGACTTTAGATCCGTGTACGAAAATTGAGTGGTAACTATGAGGCTGGCGCCGTGCCTAGTCATATATAGTAATTTAGGAAGTATTGAAGGTTATTTATTTATTGTAGGGCTTTTTTTTTTTAATGAGGTAAATAAAGCATTTCCCAAACTGCTACTATTTTACTGTAGACTTCTGGAAATAACTGTTAATACTTATTTCAAACAAAAAGGAAATGTATTATAGATTGTTTTGTAGATGACTATTTTGGAATAGTGAGTTAAGATGTATATGTATTTTAACTTTGGATATTTTACTAGATGTTGTTCACTTTTTCCCAAAGAAAGTAGAAGTGTTTCTAAGGAAACAGACCATTCTACTTAGTGGAGAGGATCATTGTAAAGTTACATGACAGCTAGGGGCTCAGCTTAGTGGTATAGTATGTGCTTTGCATGTCTGTGGCTTGTGCTTCATCCTCACTAAAGGCAACAGCTTTACGCCTTCTTCTGAAGTGTGGGCTCAAATGTTTAAGTAACTAAACTTAGAAAGTAACTCTCTCTTTTCTATCAAGTTCCGTTGACTTCTTTGTTGTGGATCATATAGAGAAATATCTTACTATTTTTTCCCTCCCTCCCTCCCTCCCTCCCGTGTCTCGACCTCTTTGGCTGTGGATACACCCTCTCCTTCTTTCTTTTCTTGTTTTGTCACTTCAACCTTGCTACACAGTGAAGGCCTCAGAGCTTCTGGTCCCCACATCTCCTCTGTTGTGATTACAGATGCTTTCACCACCACACCTGATTTGATGGAGTAGTGGGGATCCATCCTAGGGCTCTAAAGAACCCTACCCACTGGACTCTATCTCCAGACCAAGTTTTCTGTTTTTCCAATTAGCAAGGCACATTCAAATTGGTCTATTTTAAGGGTCATATTATTAAAGTTTGTATGGTTCCTCTCATATATTTCATACTTTGAAAACAGTTTTTTGAAACTTAATGCACATATTATCAATTGGGTAAATTCCTAGGAATGAATTTGTTGAGTGAAAGGCATTTGTGCATTTCCAAGGTCAGGAAAGCGATGAGCTTTTCTGTTGCTTTTCTGTTGGTACTGGGTGCTGTGGGAGATTCAACAGTGAAAGAGGCTGTGTTTTCTGTCCAGGAGTGCACTGTGGAGTGGGAGGTCAGGAACAAAGTACGATGGAGCCTAGTTAGATGGTGAACTGCAGGCTTCTGTATGAAGCACAGGGCCTCCAGAGAGAGAGATTAGGAAGGCAGGAGGAGGCAAAGAAGTCATGGCTGAGCAGATTCTATCTGCATCTCTAAAAGGGCACGGATTTAATTTGTCAATACCATAGGGAAATGAGCAGTTGCAAGACATGAGCCAGCCTGAGGGCGGGCCAGTGCTGAACCCTCGCAGGACAGCTCTCAGGAGCAGCTGTGTAGAGGGGCAGCTGTGTAGAGGGGCAGCCGTGTAGAGGGGCAGCCGTGTAGGGGGGCAGCCGTGTAGAGGGGCAGCCGTGTAGAGGGGCAGCCGTGTAGAGGGGCAGCTGTGTAGAGGGGCAGCCGTGTAGAGGGGCAGCTGTGTGTGGAGATGAGAGAAGCTGGAGGGCCTTGGTGGGAGCTTGAGAATGGCTGAGAGATGAATAGAGTCAGGACGTGGAGAATAGAGAGCCCTTTCAGGGAAGGAGTTAGAAAAGGTTTAAAGGTGTCTGTGCATATTTCATTTAGAATATTCCATAAAGAACAGTCTTTAGACTATCCTAAAGCAGCTCAAGTAAATCATGTTGCCTCAGCTAGGTGCACATTTGCTATCCTAGCACTTGAGGGGCTGAAGCAAGAGGTTTACAAAAAAGAAAATGTATCATGGTTCTTTCTTAACTGAATACAATTGTGCATCTTTTCATAGATACTTATGTATAAAGTTGCCTTAAGTTTGTAAAGGAGCTGAAAAGTTCTCATCATGTGGTGTCTTTCACACATATCCAGAAACAGTGAGTTAGAGCTTGCCTGTGGTAATCAGTCACTGAGGAGCAAAAGGCTATGCCATTCAAGTTTGTGTAAGTATACTCTAATATTCACAAGATGAAATGATATCAGCAGATATTTTCAAATCTTATCTTGGTTTTGAAGCCCTCCAGGACCTGACTCCTGGCTGTCATCTGGCTTCTTCTGTCTTTGACTTTCTATTGCTGGTATTTACTAATGTGAACATTTGTTCCAATGTTAATGTTCGTTCCTTAGGTCATTCAGCATTTCTCACCTAGAAAGCTCCTTGTTAATTGTTAGAATTGTTATTCTTAGATCTTACCCATTCTAATAGATACTTAGTGCTAGCAAGTAGCTCAGTTTGCATTTCCTGTATAGTTTTTAATATATTTTACCAGGGCTTTGCATATCTATAAGCATTTCTTTTATCTACAAAGGATTTATATATTTTGGTTATAACTTTTAAAATTACGATCTCTCTGTTGTTTGTGTGTGTATATGCACATATATATGTGTCGATGTATATAAGCTATAACAAACCTGTGGAAGTCATAGGACTACTTGTGCAGTCAGTTCTTTCACCGTGTGTGCCCTGACGATTGAACTCAGATTGTCAGCTTGGTGGTAGGCACGTTTACCCACATATCATGGGGCTTTTGGGGATCCCGCTTGAGGTTTAATAATAAAGACATAGAAACATCTGTATAGTTTAGGGCTGTTGGCCTTTTGCTGGGACAGTCTCCCAGCTAATTTCTTAACCTGACTTCTCAGCCAGTTTGTTGTTCTACTTGGTTTTCACTGTCTAGTTCCCAGCTCTGTCCTGTCTCCATTTTGTATTTGTCTGGCTAGATTTTCTGCTGATCTTTCTGCCCCAGCTCCAAA